TTTTTTTCCCGGCGAAGGGTTTCATGCCCGAATGTACTTCTGTACTTTTTACGGGCCCCCCGCGCCCACCCACCCCCTACGGCCTTCGGCCTCCCTAGCGAGACAGGCAGCCTTTCTTTCGGGGGCAGCGATGAGCAGTGGAGCGAAGCTCCGGAGTCTTATGTGTCGGTGTGTTGGTATGTAGGTGCTGCTGCTGTAGCAGCGCACCGTTCCCTCACAAAAATAAAATCATGCGCGTAGGCTACAGCAACAGCGTGTGCAACCTACATGTAAACACGTAGTCTAGCTCTCTGCTGGCGAGCATGGTGGGCAGGCAGCGCATATTACTGCTGTACTACATACTATACATATACATAGTACACCAGGTGCGCTTTGCATACAGAGCGCGCAGGAATCGCGCTTGCGAGAGCTGCGAGGGTGAAGAGAGCTCCCAGACAGGCTGCGGCCCTCAAGTGCCTTGCATAACCCGCCATGCACCTGCCAGCGTACCCCGACGCGGCGCATGTGGGCGTGTGTGCACACCCTACGTGCTGCAGACCTGCAGGTCTTTGCAGACTGGCTGTTGATGGTCGCTCGGCACGCGTGCGTAAAAAAACATATCGCACCACACCAAGCATGGAGACGCCGAAACAGAACCACGAGACAGCAAAAAGAGCCGCTTTTCGTCAGATAAGGGAGGACACTGCAACGGATTTCTCGCTTCCTAGGCCACCGATCGAAGCCAGATCGGTCAGGGCGTGCTCTCTGTTCCTTGCTCTCTGCCGGAGTAGAGTTGTTCAGTAGCTCATTGATCCAATCATTCGAAATCGTCGTCTGCGTGTACACAAGCACTCTGTAACTGTTCCCAGGCCTTCAACACATCAGATTACTCTATTCTCAAGTGAAGCAGACCAGAAAAAAATCACAGTTCGAGGAAGCAACGGGCACCACGCGCATGCTTGTCTCCGTCGATCGAGAGTATGCGCTGCCGAGAAACTCTACTTCGGCAGAGAGCAAGGAACAGAGAGCATGCCCTGACCGGTCTGGCTTCGATCGGTGGCCTAGGGAGCGAGAAATCAGTTGAGGTGTCCTTCCCTCTCTGACAAAAAGCGGCTCTTTTTGCTGTCTTGTGGCGGTTTGGCCTGTTTCGGCGTCTCCCATGATTGGTGCGATGATATATGTTTTATTACGCACACGTGCCTAGCGACCATCAACAGCCAGCGTGGAGAATAACAAGCCCTTCGGCATAGGGTTGCTGGGGGCCCTTGAAAAAAGCGATACGTCACGAACTCAGGTCGCACTCGATGATAATGTCGTGTGGGTTGATCTACACCCACCCACTGATAATCCGCCTCAGGAATTCGGCTCACTGTACGGACGGCCGGACGTTTTTCCAGCCGGATTTCTGCCCATCCTGAAAAGTGGTCATTTTTGGGAAAGGAATCCAAGTGAATAAGAATCAGCCTTAGGCTGATTCTTTACCCTCCTACAGTAGTACCCAGTCCCTCCGCAAAAACGAAAGCCGAAAAAATATTTGTCAGCCATTGGTTGAGGGCTGACAGCCCCTCCAAGAAATCTGAGCTCCTTGCCAGACAACGGGTGACTTGGCTTCACTATGAAAAAAAAACACGTGGGGACACTTTTATGCTGAAGCCAAGTCAGCAATTCTTTCCAGTACCAGGCGATGTACCGTATTGCGAACTGGGGGGCACCCGGGTTGGGAGATGTGTAGCAGCAAGTCAAAGGCCCGGGAGAGACATCACACAGCATATCGGACAGCAGCCAAGCATGATAGACCAAGGGTTCTGACGTACGTTGCATACAGCAGACAGAGCGTAGGGTNCTTCACTACAACCCATGTCTAAGCAAAAGCTTGTCGAGGAGCGAGGGGAAGAAGGAAGAGTTTATTGGTTTAATATTCATTTAGAGTATGAGACATTAAGAGAGAGTTTTCTGAGGTACATCTGCACTTGTCGGAAGGCAAACAAAATACTAATAATAAGTACATCACCAAATTGTTGTGGGTATGGTAGGTAGGGGAGCTATGTTTTATGTTGACGAAGCTGATCAGCTTTATTTCCAACATGTCCCTAGCCCATCGATACGACTCCGGGATAACTCTCGCGACGAATCGGTGGTGTACCTCGTGGTATTAGCGGACACACACTGCTGTGTGTTTCTACATATTGCAAATAACGACGGGAAAAATAGCTTTGGGAGAAGCAAAAATAGCTACGTGTCTTGTTTAAAACTACATCCAATAGGTGTTCCGGCCTAGTGCCGGCCAGATGTATATAGCAAAAACCTGACGTCCCTGTTCTGAATAGTTGTTGTGTCCGGTGTACATGGTGCCCGTCAAACCTCTGGGCAGATGTATTCCGGCACTGCTGTATAGACTATTTGTATGCATTTTTCAAAACAGACTACATGTACGGTGTGAAAATAATAATAGTTTTTTTTTGCGACAAGAGTGGCCCGAATAGGGGTACGCTTTTTGTTTTGCGTGTGTGGGGAGTATGTGCGCACGAGAAAAAGAATAATTTTCATGCCCAGGGGCGTGAAAGTTACGCGATGGCTGTCTGATGTCTGTCTGTCTGCGCGCCCTAAATAACCCAGCAGACTCGAGCCCATTTCACCATCTCGGCACCAAATTGCAAACTAAAACTTGCACACAACAAGTAAGTGACATGTTGCCCGAGCTGTCCCAACCGCTACCTTTGCAATCCGTGGTCGGTNGTTACGCGATGGCTGTCTGATGTCTGTCTGTCTGCGCGCCCTAAATAACCCAGCAGACTCGAGCCCATTTCACCATATGATGATGGACACCACCCCCCCCTCTAGTGAATGATGATGGATACCACCCCCCTCTCAACCTGGTGGTGATGATGGACCGCCCCCCGTTCTTCTGTAACAGACGCACGAGNCCTCTCAACAGCAGTAGCTGATGACGATGGATAGCACCCCCCTCTCTAGCTGGTGACGATGGATAGCACCCCCCCTAGATTGCTGACGATGGAAACCACCCCCCTAGCTAGCTGATGATGGACACCACCCCCCCCTCTAGTGAATGATGATGGATACCACCCCCCTCTCTAGCTGGTGATGATGGATAGCACCCCCC